ATTTTCGAAAGACTGATATGCACAGATTGTTAAATTACAGTTTCCTTTAGCAATTATCTTCGTATTAGGAATAACAGCGTTTCAGCAAGCATTTCTTCTGTCCAGGTGGTCTGTCTCGAAGGGGTGGCTTGGAAAAAATGAAACAAAAATATTTTTCTCTGTTTCTCGTCGTCCGATCGACCCAATATTGTTTTGCGTTTTCTGAAACAAAATTCCGTTGTAAGGAGGGTGGTAATGTAGTCAAAAAATAACCGCTGCGACATTTCTTATAACGCAAATGAGGTCACGAGAGAGACTGGCATTATCTAGTTACCAAGGAAACGAGTTTCCAATATGGCGTACTAGTACTGTATGATCTTCTTGTTGTTCAGACCAAAAAAGACGGCAAAATAGACTTAAACCTTGTTGTAAACACATCTGTTGTTAGAAGCTACGCATAAACCTATAGGCAGATAAGGCTTTTGCTCAATTAAGGAAAAGATGAAAGTAAAATGGAAAGATGCTGACCATTGCTATCACTGCATAATTTATTTAGAGTGCTGTTTAGAGTAGATCCCAAAATTGAAAAGTCTTTTCTCTGTCATTTTGTTAACCGTTTTATCACTGATATATTTTTCACATAATTGATACAGAAAATATTATTTCCACAGATAAAAGGAGATAAAGAAATAATTTTTTCGGCGCTTTATCCATATCTACGGAAGCCTTGAGGAAAGTGTCGAAAATGCCATTTATTTCAAGAGTATGATCTAAAATATCCGGCTGTGTCAGCTAGTGAGTAAATGCATATTTTGTTCCTTCTTCCAAGTAAGTGTTTCAACATCCTCCATCACCGTTCTCTTGACATTTATTTCAATTACCTTTCTCGGAGACTTGTATAGACTTAAATAAATATTTTTTTCAGACGAGCTTTAACCTAGCGATGAGTGTGGAAAGCAAGGTATCGGCAAAACAGCACCTTGTATCAATAGAATTCTTCTCATTAAATATGACAAAAGTGAAATCATTCAATAAATTACATTGATGTTGGAACTTCACGGTTTTTAGACAAACGAAAAATAATATTTATTTTACCTTTTTAAAAGCAATTTCTTCCTAGATTGCTCGATCTGATTTTAGTATAACAGATCCT